AAAGTGTCGCTAAATACGGATTTTTCAAAATCGCTAAATTAACGTGACGCCAAAATTTCATGTAATAAGGCATGTACCACTCCATTGGCACCCAATGTTAGTGCAGATAACATCCAGCCTACTTATCAAGTAGATTAATGTGACATTGATGTAACCACAACATGACAGCTGAAGATTTCTCTTTTGGACTGGATGAAAACAACACAAAGTACATCAAATTCATCAAGAACCTGACCAAAACACGCCAGTCCGGACTATCTGCAAAGCCCAGAAGCTTCCTTCCAAAAATGTTTGCTACAGGAGGTGCCAAGTTACATCTCTGGCCAGGATGATCAGCATCAGTCTTTTATGAACATGAACCATTTCCACCAGTGTCAAGTCACTTTCAACATCAGAAGCACAGCAGCTCCTGAAAAGCCACAGTCAGCTGCACTGCATGGCAAGGACAATATTTCTAACTGATCAGTTCAGTTTTCCAAATACTTCAATTATTGAACATGTTGATCTCGATTAGAATAGACTGCAAACATTCTCAAGTGAACCAGTTTTGACATCTTTTCAGTCCTCCTTTTTCTTTGAGGTTCTTAAATTGAAAACGCTTTGGAATGATAGATGCTCTCAGAATTTGATCTTTGTTAATTGAATGATATTTTGGTCAGTACTTTTTGGCATGTCAATCAGGGCTGTTATTTTTTGACCAATAATGTTAATGTAGGTGGGACCAGTGAGCCATGACATGAAGTAAACAAATGATTTTTTCGTGCAATTTCGAATAAATAAGCACTCACAAATTTTTCAGACTACAAATTGCACTCGCCCTACAGGCTCGTGCAATTTTTTGTAGTCTTTGAAAACTTTACTTGTGCTTATTTGTTTCAATTGCACTCAAAATCATTTGATTACCTATAAAAACAAAAATAGAGGAGGAAAACAACTGTGATAATTACCTAATCTTGTTAAATTTTCTCTTGTTGACCAGTGTCCTGCAAAAGGTGTAAGGAGAAAATAAAGGAGATTTTTATTTCTGGCCAGCAGAGAGCACATCAAATCAAAGTGGCTGTAAGCCACTGAACTTGAAAAATAAATTATGAAAGGGTTTTACAAGGTATTGCTCATTAACGAACTACTTGTGATATGAGGACAGGCTAGCTTTCGAACAAGCCCATAAAGCCTTTTTCTATTCAGGGATGTGTTGTGATATTTGCAAAATGAAAAAGTTCAACATTAAGAAACTGTTTGTTACTCAGGCCTGCCCACACATTTTACATATTACCTTATCTGATGTACACGTCTTCCTTGTGCTGTAGTAAAAATTATAATAATGATTTGATTTCTCGAGTATGCGAGTCAGGTCTACAAGTGTGCACAGGATCCTTTCTTGAACATTGGTTAGTAATTGAACCTATTCTTCTGAAGTGGTATCCTTTTGGGGTCTAATGAAGCTCAAGCAATGTCCACATTAGTCTCCCTT